GGGGGAAGGCTTAACCCATTCATAAACATAGCAGTTTCTCTGAAACTGCTATGTTTATAAAAAAATGGGTTAACCCTAGAAGGACCTGGCACCCAGACCACTTCATTAAGCTGAAGTGGTCTGGGTGCCTAGAGTGGTCCTTTAAGCTCCCCCTTGGGTCGAGCATAGGATAAATACATAAGACAAAGTAGTCCATATTTTGTATATGTTTTAAAGAACACAAGATCAGAAAGGAACAACAGATCTGGAGAGGAATGTATTCCTAACAGTAGCCCATCGGCCCCATAAATGGGTTAAAAATACAAAACAAAAAACTCCCACCTTTCTTTCACCTATCTGATTACAGCGCTAGTGTCGCAAACGAATTAGCCCTTCCCAATAGGAAAGCAGTGACTCATTGCTTTCCCACTGGGTTTTGCTTGATTTCCCCATGCAAAGCTGTAGAAGGCACCTCCAGTGGCAATCATCTAGACAGCCACTAGAGCAGGGCTTGACAAACTTGTTTGGAATGTAGGAGCCAGCTAAAAAAGTTAGGAGTCCTTTTTTTAAGTGAAGTTTCATTTACAAGAAATATACAATTCTCAAGGGGACACTATAGTCACCAGAACCACTACAGCTTAATGTAGTTGTTCTGGTGCCTACAGCCTGTCCATGTAGCTTTTTCAATGTAAAACGCTGCCTTTTCAAATCCCAGGCACCAGGGCAAAATTTCTAGTTGCCATGGCAATCTGGGATTTGTCAAGCCCTGCACTAAACGCAGTCTTAATGTTTTACATTGCAGGGTTAAAAGAACAGAGACACTGCAACCTGACCACTTCAATGAGATAAAGTGGTTTGGGTGCCTATAGTGTCCCTTAAAGAAAAGTGATTGTGTGAAAAATATGGATGATGGCATACCATGGGCGAAATGGACGGGATGTGGTTTATGTGATGTCACATCATTAGCAGAGTATTGGTGCAGCAACATTTTATTTTTTGCCTAGGGCAGCAAAATTCCTTGCACCTGCCCTGCTGGTATAAAATGAGCAACAAATTCCATCCTACGCATAGTAAGCCAGATAAAGGGACATTATAGTCATAGGAACAACTACAACATGAAGGGATACTATAATCCAGTGGAAGTCAACCTTTTAATACCTACCGCCAACTTTTGTAGCTGTTGACGGTAAAATTTCCTTTCCTCCCACCAGTGCTGCAGTAATTTATAGCAATTTTATAGCGCGAATGCAACTTCTTTTAGAAAGTTTCTTTTTAATATGTACTTACATTTAACTATTTTTTTTCTTTTCTACTTTATTTCTATACGTGTATGAAAGGGGACAGTATGCATGTGTGAGGGAGGGCAGTGTTTGAAGGGTGTATAGAGTCTACTGTGTGTGTGTAGGTGAAATTTAAAAATGTATCAATGTCTCCTCCCCCCATGCCCTGATAGTTCAATGGTGGCATGTTTCCTTTAGCCTGCAGCTGCATACTAACTCTCCTGTTAGCACAGCACTGTATTGGAGCGTTGCCATGGTAACATGCAGCAACACTCCGACCAGTCTGCTCACAGAGCCGCCCAGGCCCTTCCATCCGTTGGAACCAGTGGCTCTGCATAGGCTGGCAGGGGAGATGAAAGGATCTTTCCCCACCCAGCGGTTTTTTGCAGTACCCACCACCGCCCACCTGAAATCCCAAACCCACTAATAGGTGGTAGGGACCAGGTTGACTACCCTTGCTATAGTCACTCAGCCTTTTCTCACTTAAGTGGTCTGGGTGCATTGTCCCTGTCCCACTTAGCCCTGCAATGTAAATTATTAAATTTTTTGAGGAACTGCAATAATTACCTTGCAGGACTAAGACTGCGGTCAGGAATCGGGTGAGGGAAGTGGGCACTAGAGGACTCTAAAGTGTTACAAATATGGATTTGTGTTCCCAACACTATAGAATGCCTTTAATGTAGTTGTTCTGGTGTGTACAGTTTCTCCCTGCAGAGAAAACACAGTTTATATTATTGCCTATGAACAACTGTAGTGGTGGTCACGTCATGAAGATGCTGAACGTTGCTCAGAGATGCATGGATTCAATAGAACGCTATGAGACGATGTTGATTGAGGTTACATGATGCAGCGCATGCGCAATAGTGTTCCAATGCGATCCTTTGACGATCCAATTGCAATGGACCCGTGCAGCGCTGGATTACAAAGGAGTAAACTCACCTTTTACATTGATCGCAGGGGGCAGGGACCTAAACTGTGCTGTATTCCGGTCATTATAGTGTTCCTTTAAATTTACAGCTTTCAAATAATTACAGGTCACACTAGTTTTACACTGTTTAACTATGATGATACTGAATTACTGGTTAGGACTATGCATTGGAGGCAAGAGCCCTAACCACCCACAAAAAGCACACTGGATCTATTTTGACACCCCCCACAAATTTCCCATTAGATCTACAGTTATCCCATTAGATCTACAGTGACACCCCCCCACAAACAAATATCCCATTAGATCTACAGTGACACCACCCCCCCACAAACAAATATCCCTTTAGATCTAAAGTGACACCCCCCCAAACAAATATCCCTTTAGATCTACAGTGACACCCCCCCAAAACAAATATCCCTTTAGATCTACAGTGACACCACCCACACATACCTCCTTATATAAAGAGAACCAATGGCAATAATCTACCCACCCATGGCTAATCCCTCCAATATGGCCCACGTTACAGGGGATGAAGACCGAGCTATGTGTAATCTATTGGCAATAATACATTATACACAGCGAGCTCACATTTAGACTAAACACTGAACCCACATATTAAAGCAGCCTGTGATTTCATTATGAACAATCTATATCACGTGGGAGCCAGCTCTCTCCACAATCGGTTTTTGTTCGGTGTGGCTCGGTATCGGAGTGCTGTTTGCGGGATTCGTTGGATGGAGAGGGGATTCTGTGGAGAATGGGGGAGCGGCGGGTGGAGGATAACACGGTGTGACTGAAGGAGTGCTACTTACCATGGTGACCTATAAAACTCGGTGAACTCTTCAAGTGAAGGAAAAAAAAACCGAACAAATAAAACAAAACCTAAAACCGTAAACGGAACAGAACCACCTAAAAACAGAACATGGCTTCTCTCCGCGGCCGCGACAACTAACTGGGGGCGCCTGGGTGTGTCCTATATATACCCTCCGCGGGGCAGACCATTCTCTAGTCTGCGGAAGGGGGGACCGGATATGTGGAAACCCAGACAAGGCCTCACTCTCACAGTGAAATGACTGAAGAACATACTGTGGGCTGCGTGCGATAGGCCATACGTGACACGGTGTCCATGCATTGAGGCAGGGACGTGGGGATCATATTTTTTTAGTTTTTCGCCTTTCCCGCCAGTTCTCATGGTTTGGTCTATGCTGGGACCTGACAGTGACGTGGGGGAGCTTTATGTTCGAATCTGAGTGTGCGCGTGGGCTGTACCATATAATGTGAACGGGGGGGAGGATGGAATACAGCACGGTGTCTGAATATTACACTGTGATGGTTATGGCTGGATATGGCACGGTGTCTGAATATTACACTGTGATGGTTATGGCAGGATATGGCACGGTGTCTGAATATTACACTGTGATGGTTATGGCTGGATATGGCACGGTGTCTGAATATTACGCTGTGCTGGATATGGCTGGATATGGCACGGTGTCTGAATATTACACTGTGATGGTTATGGCTGGATATGGCACGGTGTCTGAATATTACACTGTGATGGTTATGGCTGGATATGGCACGGTGTCTGAATATTACGCTGTGATGGTTATGGCTGGATATGGCACGGTGTCTGAATATTACACTGTGATGGTTATGGCTGGATGGCACGGTGTCTGAATATTACACTGTGATGGTTATGGCTGGATATGGCACGGTGTCTGAATATTACACTGTGATGGTTATGGCTGGATATGGCACGGTGTCTGAATATTACACTGCTGGATATGGCACGGTGTCTGAATATTACACTGTGATGTTATGGCTGGATATGGCACTGGATATGGCACGGTGTCTGTATATTACACTGTGATGGTTATGGCAGGATATGGCACGGTGTCTGAATATTACACTGTGATGGTTATGGCTGGATGGCACGGTGGCTGAATATTACACTGTGATGGTTATGGCTGGATATGGCACGGTCTGAATATTACACTGTGATGGTTACTGTGCTGGATATGGCACGGTGGCTGAATATTACACTGGATGGTGGCTGAATATTACACTGTGATGGTTATGGCTGGATATGGCACGGGGTCTGAATATTACACTGTGATGGTTATGGCAGGATATGGCACGGTGTCTGTATATTACACTGTGATGGTTATGGCTGGATATGGCACGGTGTCTGAATATTACACTGTGATGGTTATGGCTGTATATGGCACGGTGGCTGAATATTACACTGTGATGGTTATGGCTGTATATGGCACGGCTGAATATTACACTGTGTGTGGCTGATGGCATATTACACTGTGATGGTTATGGCTGGATATGGCACGGTGTCTGAATATTACACTGTGATGGTTATGGCTGGATATGGCACGGTGTCTGAATATTACACTGTGATGGTTATGGCTGGATATGGCACGGTGTCTGAATATTACACTGTGATGGTTATGGCTGGATATGGCACGGTGGCTGAATATTACACTGTGATGGTTATGGCTGGTATGGCACGGTGGCTGAATATTACACTGTGATGGTTATGGCTGTATATGGCACGGTGTCTGAATATTACACTGTGATGGTTATGGCTGGATATGGCACGGTGTCTGAATATTACACTGTGATGGTTATGGCTGGATATGGCACGGTGGCTGAACATTACACTGTGATGGTTATGGTTGGATATGGCACGGTGGCTGAATATTACACTGTGATGGTTATGGCTGGATATGACACGGTGTCTGTATATTACACTGTGATGTTATGGCTGTATATGGCACGGTGTCTGAATATTACACTGTGATGTTATGGCTGGATATGGCACGGTGTCTGAATATTACGCTGTGCTGGATATGGCTGTATATGGCACGGTGTCTGAATATTACACTGTGATGGTTATGGCTGGATATGGCACGGTGTCTGAATATTACACTGTGATGGTTATGGCTGGATATGGCACGGTGTCTGAATATTACACTGTGATGGTTATGGCTGGATATGGCACAGTGTCTGAATATTACACTGTGATGGTTATGGCTGGATATGGCACGGTGTCTGAATATTACACTGTGATGGTTATGGCTGGATATGGCACGGTGTCTGAATATTACACTGTGCTGGATATGGCACGGTGGCTGAATATTACACTGTGATGGTTATGGCTGGATATGGCACGGGGTCTGAATATTACACTGTGATGGTTATGGCAGGATATGGCACGGTGTCTGTATATTACACTGTGATGGTTATGGCAGGATATGGCACGGTGTCTGAATATTACACTGTGATGGTTATGGCTGTATATGGCACGGTGGCTGAATATTACACTGTGATGGTTATGGCTGTATATGGCACGGTATCTGAATATTACACTGTGATGGTTATGGCTGTATATGGCATTGTGTCTGAACATTACACTGTGATGGTTATGGCTGGATATGGCACGGTGTCTGAATATTACGCTGTGATGGTTATGGCTGGATATGGCACAGTGTCTGAATATTACGCTGTGATGGTTATGGCTGGATATGGCACGGTGTCTGAATATTAGACTGTGATGGTTATGGCGGTATATGGCACGGTGGCTGAATATTACACTGTGATGGTTATGGCTGGATATGGCACGGTGGCTGAATATTACACTGTGATGGTTATGGTTGTATATGGCACGGTGGCTGAATATTACACTGTGATGGTTATGGCTGGATATGGCACGGTGGCTGAATATTACACTGTGATGGTTATGGCTGGATATGGCACGGTGGCTGAATATTACACTGTGATGGTTATGGTTGTATATGGCACGGTGTCTGAATATTACACTGTGATGGTTATGGCTGTATATGGCACGGTGTCTGAATATTACACTGTGATGGTTATGGCTGGATATGGCACGGTGTCTGAATATTACACTGTGATGGTTATGGCTGGATATGGCACGGTGTCTGAATATTACACTGTGATGTTATGGCTGTATATGGCATGGTGTCCAATGCTCTCAATATATTTTCTTTTTTCCTCATAAATGAGCATCCAAAAAAAGTAAAAACCCTTACATTACAGACGCAAAAAAAACAAAAAAACGCAACTGCACAGGGGAAAAATATGGATGCAATGAGCCTCATTGTGTGGTTTCCAACTTATCTTGTTGGGAGGTATGTACAGTTATAACTATCTTATTTCATAATTCTATAAACATCTACTATACACAAAATAACATAACTCCATTTTTTTGATAATCTTTAGTTATAAGTTTGGTACAATAGAAATGGTAAAAAGAGAATAAGCTACTACGAAAAACTTTGACAAATACAGCTCACAAAACAAATTAGTTGTTACTATGTCAAAATAGTAGAAGAGAAGAGCTGGTACAGCATTTTTAGAAGATGGTGATAGGAAAACAAACTCCCATGGGGCATTATTAATCTGATAACTTAACCAGCAGCCTAAAACGCCATACAAAATATAAAGATTAAGGGAGGGAAAAATAAGAGAGAAGAAGAGTACCGTAAATAAAAGAAAGCTGGGGGATCATTCTCCCAGACCAAGAATGCACAGGACATGCAGACAGACTGAGGTATCATGTCCAAGAATATCATTTGTTAAGCTACATAACTTCTAGTGCAGGAATGATAAAACACAGGCATGTAGTAGACATTTTCTCTGTGTGTCCAGAATTATGCAGATAAATCTATGCATGCTGTTGTGTTTGTTTAGTGTTCTAATATTCTAACCCTTCGTGAACTCCAGAATACCATACAGTCATATAATTTCTACAAACCAGTTTTCTTTTGATATACTATTTTTTTTTTTTTTTTTTTAAAGATGTTAAATGTTAGAATAAGTGATACTTGTATTAAATTATTTTAGCACCAGAGGGCAGATTCTTCCTGATCCACGATAACATTTTCAGCAAAGCATTTGCTGTAAGCTTGCAAACCTGTTCTGTATGGTTACAAGCTTACAAATGTGAAATTAATTTTGACATGTGCAATCTGATTAAACATCACACTATAGGCACACAGACCCAAACCACTTAATTTCATTTAAGTGGTCTGGGTGTAGTGCCCCCGTCCTCTTAACCCTGCAATGTAAAACAATGCAGTTTTTGAGAAACTCCGTTATTTACATTAAAGGGTTTAATACTGCCTCTAATTGCTGTTTACCAGGTGAATGGGGGTGTGGCCAGTAGCAGGCTTTTCTGAGACATTTTAGGTAAATTACTAAAAACTATTTATGCAAATAAAATGTAATTTAGAACAATAACTATATATCTTATTTATTGAAATTCACTATAATTTTCAACAATTCTCATTTTAGGAAATAACCCTGATAGAGTGACTTACAAGTAGCTGCCTAGGAAGGGGTATCTATGGCAGAGTGGAAGGTGCAAAATTAAACTTTTGCAGATCTCCACTAGGAGCACATTAGGGAGGATTCATTGGTACTCTGTCATAACCAATGAATGCGTAATAAATCCCTAAAGAGGATGGAGTTTTTTTTTGTTTTATACTTGTACTCTCTGTAGTGAGTAGATGTTTCAGAAGTGAACATGTATAGCAAGAGTTGCTGTGTAAGAGCTTTGGGAGTCAACTTGGTTGTCCCTAAGTGAGCGTATGGTTAGGTGAACCAGTTTTATATACGAGCTTTAGGTTATATTATGTGCTGCAAGCTTACTGGAAATGTAATAGTAGATTCTAACTGTCAAATATATTGTTTACTATTTATTTCATATAGATTCACACAGGACTGTTTGATAAACCATGCTAGAAACTAGGGAACTGCACAATCTCAGTTAACGTAGCTGAGTTGGAAAAAATAGCTACATTTGGAAATGTTATCCAGTTTAAATAATGCATGCTGATGTAGTGGTTATGATGCCACTAGGCTGACCGAATCGGTGTCGCCGAGATACCTGCTGCTCAGCCTTTGCTCATTCCACAATGGCAGCATCAGTTATTTTAAAGCCATTCATTGATTAATTAGCTGACAGTGTCTGCTTCTGTCGGTGCCTTGATTAACCCCAATGTCAGTGAGCGTGCTTAAAAATGATTTGAAAAACATGGGCATGGCAGCTGCACAAACCTCCTGGTACAGACTTCATGCTAACTGTCCAACACTGAAGCTTTGCCCTAGGATGTCCTAGGATCCCTGGTATGTGTGAGCATACTAATTACCACATGACAGGAGGCTTCATATTTTGCTTTCTTAGAAAAGAATACTATGTACAGGCACTCTTCTATCCGTATTGGTGCAAAGTATCGAGGTGGTCATAGCTATAGCAGCAAAAAAAACAAACAGGTGAAATAAAAACCAATCCGAACACAGAGTGTATATAAGTGAAAGCATATCCACAGCACTTCCTCTTTCTTATCTGCTCCATCACAAGTCAGGTCAGAGTACTTGTTCTATGCCTCGGTTTTAAAACTGTACTTATTGTATGTGATTACTATTTTCCTTCCCTGTGGGGGTGGCTGGGGCTATCCTTTATCTCCACTTCTCTAGTGGGGCTCTTTATTTCTCTAATTTGGGTTCAGTCCCCTCTCTCCCCAGGCCCTTTCTTCCCTGAGGCAGCCTATTCCCCCCCCCCCCCTTTTTCCCTGTGGCTACGTTCGCCACTTTCCTTATTTTTCTTGCGCCGTTTGTATTTACTTCAGTGCGTTCAGGAAGGGAACTCTGTTGATTCATGCATTTAGGCAAGAACGGGCTGTTCATGGGTTTTTCCCGTTCGTGCCTATTCCTGTGCATAGCGTTGGTGGCTTGCGCACGAACTGGCCGTTCACGGGGTTTCCAGGTCGCATACAGCACTCGGTAGTTTTATGTGAACGGATCGTTCACGGAATTCTCTGTTTGTGTCTAATAACATTCCCTTTTACATTCGTATGTTTTTCTGCAAATGCATTTCGCGGGCTTTTACAGCATTTTAGCCCTGGTTCTTACGAGGCCCGCGGTGGCCATCTTCCTGGTGTTGTTCGTCGTAGAATTTACTCCCATCACGAAAAGGCTCTCTGTGTTTTTGAGTTTTGCAGTCCAGCTGTGTTGTATATACTGTCAGGGACTTGGTCAGGTTGGTGTAATACCCCTGGGGAGTGGGACTGCCAGTCAGGTATACCCTAGTATTCTGGCAAGGGGTGAGCCCCCATTTGGATACTACCCAGAGTGCTGCTGAACAGAATCTGTATTTGCAATTCCGGTTTCATGGGCAAGCCCCAGTGATCATAAGAGTCTGCATAATTGCCGCACGCCATTAGGATGTGTGTAAGTTACGGCCTACGGCCTGTTTCACGTCCCTCCCAACCGGTCCCTATACCTCTCCTACCTGTGCCTGTTTATTAAACAGGCACAGGTAGGGACACTGGGAGACATAGGGACACTGAGACACTAGGGACAAATGGGGGCTCACCCCTTGCCAGAAAGGCGCCCCTCAAGTGCAATAAGCGCCTATTCCCCCGTGCCTATCCAGGATGATTCCTCAGACGAGGAAAAAGATATGCCTCAGGCAGAGGTCTCAGACTCCGACGAAGGTGATTGGGGCTCCAACGCCTACGTCAGGGAGACCTTTCTGGGTGAGCCCCAGAGTAAGGAGAATGCAGAGACGACGGAAGCGTCCGCTGCTCAGGACCAGGAGGTTTTTCTGGATGCTATGAATCAGTTCGACCCCAGGAACATCAGACATCCCTGCTCCAGGGAGTGGGCTCCACCAGAATACCTCCTTAAGTTTATGCTCTTTTGGATACGGAAGCCCCTAGACTAACACGTCCTCAAGCGAATGAGGGCTGCATGACCTAGGCCAGCGCTACCAGATACAGTGGCTTTTACGCCTCAGTGCGCACGTGGAGGTCTGACCCTCTCAAAGGGGTCAAGGGAAGCACAAGAAAAGCTCCTGGACGGGATGGGGCCACTGGCCTGTGTAATGCACCTGACGCATACGCTGGGGCAGACTCTTTCACTGCGGATATGGTGCATGAATGGGTGCGCGACATTAGAGAATGGACCCAAAGAGGGGTTTGTTTTATGGGAAATACCAATGTGGCCCTCTTGACTGAGCAGCGCCGTGCAGCACTCTTCCGCATTAATCCCAAACTGGCAGATCTTGGGGCGAAAGGATTAGGCCCACAGGCACAGGGAAAACCTTTTTGAGAGGCCTTCATGAAGAAATTAAACAAGCACGTAACTGTGTTCACCTCTCTAAACAGGGCCCGTATCTCCATGCGCAGGGTCATTAGAGGCAACCCCACCAGGGGTGTTTTTTCCAGGGCTGGTCGGCAAAGGGGCCGTGCCACCAGACGATTCTGGCCATAAGGCCCCGTGCGGGACACCCACAACAATTCTACCCAGAAGCGGGTAGACAACAATCCCCATACTAACGGGGATCGGACAGAGACCAGAGAGGTCGCAGACGTGCGCGCGCAAGATTCTCCACAGGTAAGAGACCATCAGTTACATGTGTCTACTTTAACCGTTACTGCTGGCCGTGTTTTCTCTTTTTTTTTTTTTTTTAAACTGTGAAAAACTGTCCGCAGATGCATGGGTGTTACAGACCGTCAAAGGTTATCACAACGAACTTCAGACGTTCCCTATGCAGAACTACCCCCCTCGCCCCGTGTGTCTCTCCGCCACGGACGCTCATCTTATAGAATTGGAATTCTGAGAATTGCGCACGCTCCACCTTCCATCTTCCAAAGAGACGGCCATTGAGAAGAAGATCCGCAGGGTCCTCAAGCTCTACTCCATCCCGCTCAGGCAACTCCTCAATCCAAGCCATATCTTCCAGGCCCTCTGCACCACCGTGCCATGCAATGACTGTAGACCCACTTCCTCAGACGAAACCCTACATACAACCAGCTGGTTCCGCTGACAAACTAGGTTTGTCAAGAACTCGAATGGTGGCTCAATTGCATGCAAGCATGGAATGGTCGAACCATTTTTGACAACCACCCGTACTTTATACTGGAGTGGGACGCCAGCCGGTGGGGATGGGGTGCTACCGATGGGGGCGCATCCACGGGAGGAGCATGGACAACC